CTGGAGCATACGTTGAGTGTCCAAAATCCCAATTGAGGCAGCAACGAAACGTGCCCAAAATCCTGATCTGGCCAGTGCTGAACATGTGATGTTCGTTAGGCGTGCAGGCTTCCGCAGGCTGCCATGCCGCGATACCGTTTCCAGCTGTGCTAAGTAAGGTCTTCATGGAAATCTATGGAACCACCGCAACCGAAATACACCCCATGTATCTTTATCAACTGTCCTGCATCCGTTCCCTTTGCCTTCAGCCTGCTGATCCTGCCGCCAAACACAGTAGGCCGAGCAAACGACGCCCAACAGCCTCGAGATCAGCGACACAGCAGTATTGGCGGGGGACTTGGAGACATTTTGAGTGGCAGGGCGCTGAAGTGTTCGAATGCGGCTCTGCTAGCTGCGATAAGGTTCGTCAGTCTTTCCTACCACGGTGGTCACGGTTGGATTGCATGTCAGCTCAGTCGGTTTCAAATCCATCTCCTGTCGTAACAAATGGTGCATGATGCGGGCATGCGAATGAGCAGCATAGCCAACTTGGAAATCCAGGTTATACAATGTTGCACAGCGTGCAAGCTGACGGGAGCTGTGGCAAAACAGCACCCGTGATCAGAGTATGCAATTCCGCAGAAAAGAGAAGGATGAAAGAGGTTTCTGACTGAGGCCTCGGGGGTGTCACTCATCGACCTCGACCTCGACCCTCTCGCTGCTTGGCAGCGGCAGTTGTCCCTGACGGGAGCAATCAGACTACAGCTTTGAATAAATCTATCTTCACGACAACTTGGATACGGAGACAATCATGTGAATATCATTGCTCTTACATGTGCCTTTTGCGTCTACTTGGCGCAGCCGATCAATCATGTCATGACAACATGGAGACGTCAAGCACATGATGTTTAGCACAACCAGCAGAAATTGTAGGAGCTGGGTGGCACGATAACCTGGACACCACCCGACGAGACATTGATCACGGGCTATAATGCGCCGGCCTCGGATGTGCGCGAGAAGGACCACTTCAGTGCAAGCGTGCTTCTTGTTGTAACGGGTCCCTATTGGCTGCCATTGTCTTGGCGGCTTCCGGTCTTGGCCTCTGAAATGTATTGATGGCCTTTGTCACATTCGGGGTCCGTGACTGTGCACTGACATCAGCGGTTCTCGGCATGTATTCGGAAGTTCTGGTCGCCAAGGCAGGAGTCCTCCGATGCTCCCGTACATCTGCAGAACCTGGAGGTTGTCTGAGAGTGCATCCAATGGCATCCAAGGTCTATCTTTCTCCCGTATCAACTGCTGACAACCTGGGCGCACTCGTGAACACCTCTGCGGCGGGGACAACAGAGGCCGGCCGGGCAACGGATTCAAGAGGGCGGGGAATACTTAGCTCTCGCTTTGCAGGTCTTCCTTCCTGCCGACACGCCACTTCTCAATTTCTCCTATGTGCTGGTCTACGCAAGGCCGCGGGCTAATTCCGTGGTACTGGTAGAAAAGCGGAGGACAATATCCTGCCTTTGAAGCATGGCATGGGCTGCGTTCACATTCTGTTTGTTGTTGCATGAGAAGACTACCGAACAGATAGTGCTCCAGGCATCTCCATGCACCAGGTAACGCGTTTGAGGCGCTATGGTCTTCTGGGCCTCATATTCCCTCCTGCAGAAGCAGAGGACTGTCTCACCATGAATCTCTTTGCCCTGCGGCATCCCGCGCCGATGTTGCGAAATGAATGAAGGTCTTCCCTGGCAGAACAGACGACACCCGCCGCGACAGTGCTCAACGACTCGACCCTGGGCTTGCACTTGGAATATCTTGGACTTGCAAGACACGCCAGCAGACGCCACAATATGGCAACTTGTGGAACTCATAGGCCTTGCCTGGTCCTGGTTTCGTCTGGTTTCTGACGCTTTGACAGGTTTGTACCCATCCCGGAAGCGAATTTCACGGATCACGATCTGGATGCTGAGCAAGTTGGAGGTGACCTGGAGTCAGGAGCTTACTTTAGAACTGTAGGCCTTGCAGAGTTTAGAAGAGATGGCTAGCATCTGATGGGGAAACCGAACGACAAATCTGCAACATCGTGGAGCCTGATTCGCGAAAAACGTGGGTGCAGTCCCCCAAACGGCCTGCACCCGAGCTCAGGTGGGCCGCTGTTGGCGATGTGGAGCTCGTCTCCGGGTACAACCTGTCCCCTGGATGAGTCCAGCCGTGAAAAGAATGACAGCTGTGCGAGGATGCTATGTGCAGATCTGGTAATGTCGTGAGGTACCTCTCCGAGTCGGCGACTTCGTCCCCATATTTTGGGAAGGGACGGAAGGGAGATCTCGCAGAAGGGACACGGCAGAAGGGAGCATAGCGTGGCATGGCCCGGAGCGCTCAGAGTATCGATCAGCAGAACCTACCTGAAAACCCTATCCAACTCGGAAGCCCTCGCCGCGCTCTGACCTCGTTTCCAACAGGCGGACGGGCGATCGTTCCGTTCGCAGGCTCGACCTTCATTGTGCTTGTGTCTTGTTGGGGCTGTTGGAGTCATTTTTCCGGCCTGCAGTACAGCTGCAACTACGACCAATCGCGACCAGCTAGCTGGCGGGCTCATTCCAAAAGACTAAGCCGGTGCCATACGCTGTAGTACAAAATAGTACAAATTTCGTGTCGTGCGCCAAAACCCACGTTTGTTGTTTGACTGCTGTCCTCAATCCCAGCAAGCAGCTCAGCTGCTACCCCCGAAACGGCACCAAGGTTGAATGCTTTCATGTCAGCCCTCAGTCTTTCTAAAGCCCCCTGAAAAGGTGGGATCATTGGCCTCCGATGCTGCTCGAAGTGTCACCTTCCCAGCCGACATCCCTCGGACAGCCGCGGGATCCCCAGTGCACCACGCAGGGTTTGAGATGGCTTGCGCACTTGTAGGCCGGAGTTGTGGTGGGTTGATTTGGCACGTCTGGACTCATATGTGACTCCTTTCTCGGCTCCGGCGCAGCTCGTGGATTTCACCGATGATTAGTAGCTCGCTTTGGCACCACACAAATACCGAATTTCAAGCCGGGCGTTTGAGCGACGCACAGTGGCGCCGGAGCATGCCACTGGCAACGAGTAGCAAACGCCTCATATAGAGAAAATATCGTGAAGTTCAAGCCGGTTTGATGACAGCAGAGTCGGATAGTGATCCGAGTCGGATCACACAGAAGAGCGGTTCGCCAGGCACCAAAGCACCTCGGGATGATCTCGAGTTGTCTCCCTTGATTGCTTTGCAGTGCACTGTTCGTGCTGCTGCAGGTTGATCGCACCGATGCACTTGCGTACGTCGCCTGGCTTTACAGGGACTGAGATGTTGGACTGCATGAAGACACTGAGAGAGTTGGTGCAGCGCTTGTTCTTAACTTCCATGCAGATCCGAGACTATGCAAAACCCTGTTTGCGTGCGACATGCGGTCCGTTCAAGCAAGGCCTTGGTCTACGCACGCTCTACGATTGCAGAACAGACCACTCCTGGATTCGCGGCAGTGGACTGACAAAAGCTGGGTAGAATCGGGCAGAACTTTTACTGAACTTTACCGATGGACCTGTCGTGTCAGGTTCTGAAAGACCTCATTCGCAGCAGGCATATGCAAGCATGATCGATGGGCGACTAGCTAGATATGCCTTGCTACAGCTTGCGTTTGTTTAACCTCATGGTCAGTTTTTCCATTGGGCGAAGGTCCACTTGCAAAGACCCGCCACACTACACGTGCAGTCCCACGCATAGGATCACTGGCGGCAGCGAAAGCGTGTCATTTTTTACGGGCATTGCAAGCAAGACAGCCTCCTGCACAACAGTCAATGGGTCAGCCTTCTATTGCCAACTGCCATGTGTTCGGTAGCAAAAGTAAATGCCCAAACAAGTGGCCACAGACAGGATATGTCCACAATGCTCCCCGAGGTGAGTGATTCTTCAAGCACAGTCGGCTCTGTCACCTTTGTGGACAAGGAGTCGCCGTGTGGTCTGGTGTCACGTGGGAGGGCCATTACACGGTGAGAAAGGATCTCGACGAGTTGGAGCTTGGAGGGACGGTGGAATGGTCTCCTGCTGGTGATGCTTCGGCCCAAGTTCTTTGGAGCATGGTGGAGCACCCAAGGCAAGTTGTTCCCCCGCCCCACCGGATTTCGGCCGGAATACTCCCCTCGCACCCTGGAAAATCTGAGAGCGCTTGTTCTCTCCATATTGGACGAACAAGGTCAGCTACGTCACTCAATACCTCGCCTTCCTGGCGACCGATGAGCACGCCGCCCAAGAAGATGTAGGGCTTTTGCGTGCCCCCCCCCCCCCACCCCCGACTATTCGAGTAACGAGTAACATGTCACGGAGCGAGTTGAGTTTGCGTCACTCTCTGTCTGGACGGCCTGCTGACACCCGAAGTAACTCTCAAGAGAAGCTACAGATCTCGACCGTACCGACTCTGCTGTTGCTTGAAGTGCAGGGTCGTGACATTTCCGAAGGATTGCAGCAGTCTCCCTTCCCATCCGCACGAGGCAAGGTACCAACCGCTCTCTGATTGGCACGGAAGAGGCGAGACCGGGAGGCACCCTGTCGTCGATCCTGGCAGCAGACGCTCGACTGGACGAAGCCAACCAATGTATTGGGGGCATCCGTCAAGCCAGGCTTAGATTGATCGTCCTTTTTTTAGCGCAGAGGTCTGCTTTAAAGTGGTACGTAGTTTCACCATTAATTCCGAGTCAGTTGCTGCCGAGCCAAGGAGCAGCCATTGGATGACTTTAGCTCCTATGCTCAGAAAGCTTTGCCTTGAGATGTCCGACCTTTCGCACTTGAGAACCCACACGCATAGATGGTGTCAGTCCTGTGGACCTTGATGCAGTCAGGCTTTGTGCTGCTATACACGAAGTCGGTTCTGGCGGAGCAGACAACACCTCATGCAGGTGTTCTGAACGACACGCTGCTTGGGTGCATTGTGGTGTCACCTAGTCCTACAATCTCATGCTGCGATCCTAGCCCTAGCCTTTCACAGTCGACCTTTACAAACACCATGGGAGGGACAGAACTTGCCCCAAGCTATCCCCAAGACCAACATACTTTCAAGCGGTGTATGAGCAGGAGAAAAGCTGGGTGCTGCGTAACAACAAGTGCAGCATGTAGCAAACTGAAGCTGCTCGTGAAGCCACAGCAAGTCTGGACTGGGCTTTAAAAGGAACCCCTGTGACAAATTCAATACTCCACTCAGGGTCTCCAGCGTGTCCAATATCAGCTTTTGGGACAAAGACCTAGTCCCTCGGCCGAACTCGGGACTCAGCCCAGGTAAGCATCGAGGCCTTGTAAACATGTGTCGAGGAGTGGTTTCAAGAGGGATGTTGTCGTTCTTCTGACTATCAGAATCAACTGTTCAATGAGAGCCCGCTTGTTACGCTATAGGCCAGAGGCGTGGCCACATGTCGATCGCCCTGAGCAAAGCCAGGATGAAGGCGAACTCGGAGGCCGCATATATTGGCTGCCACCTGAGGAGCGGTCCCAGGTCTCACGGCGGTGCTTGAGGTTATGTCGGTTTCTTCAGGCCTTCAGATTTTCAATTGGCCCCGAGTGGCTAAACAAGTTGCGGTTTAAGGTCGCAATACTCAAGTGGATCCCGAGAATCAGAAAGCCACCTCACGGGACAAAGGGAAGCAGGCCTGCGATATGCATGACGGCATCCAGTGTTGCATCACATGGTCACGTCTAGCAGCGGTCGAGCCACGAACATAAAGAATGTCCGAGGCCCTATCTTCATAGTTAACAAACCGGAGATTTGTCATGGCAGCAGAGAACTTGTCGTGAGACTGTGCTACAGAAACGCGGATGAGGCAGGGTGCAACGGAGTATGTCAGGGGACAGACTGGAAGAGCATGCACTCCGCTACACTTTGTGCGGAGCCAGGTGACCCACTATGCCGTGTATCTCGCAGAAGAGGGAGGTAGCGCGGCTGCAAAAGTACAGTGGAGGGTTCAGGACACCAAATTCCCAAAAACAGGTGGCCGATTCGGAAAACCATACGGGGGATTCGGACTAGATGAATATGTCGATTGGGCGGATTCAGGAATAGGTCTGCTTGTTTGAGACGATTTAGCATTCACGCTTTTCGGGCATTTAGGATGCCTGGTTGAAGTTTTGAGTTTAGGGATTAAGGTTTAGGGTTTAGCTGGCCGGGTTGGTGTATGGTTCAGCCCTCAGAGTTGTCTTGGCTGTCCTCTGCATGTTTAGCTTGTGGTCTTATTGTGTTCCGATGTTTTGCCAGACATTCTGCCAGAGTTCGCCTCTCATGTCTTGAGAATTTGTGTTACTGACTGTTTAGTGATTTTTCTGAGTTGGTCTTGTCCGCAGCCGGTGGCGACAAAAGTCGACTGAGATTGCCGAAGTTGTTGTGGACTCCACAGTTGAAGGTTTTTTGTCGTCTTCGGGTTTCGCATCCATAGCTCTACGGTTCAGGCGATGGACGTTCACTCGCCGGCACCAGTGCCGTGACAGGCCGGATCTCTTTCACGGCCGGATGATGCAAATATATGCAAATGCTTTGCTTTGCAACCAGTGACTTTCCGCTTCCTCTCTCGTGCATTTGAGTTTTCTTCGAAAACTGCTTCGACGGCGTAGGAATACAAGTGCCATTCTGAATCCTGAAGAAGTCTTGTTGGTCTTGGACTGGTTGAACTGTTCATCCTTCATAATGACTCATAAGTAAATCTGCGCATGGCGCCTCAGGATCCGACTACCTAGACCTGCCTGCAGAAGAACCGTTGGGCCTGCGCCCGACCCTGAGCACAGTGATGCCAAAACACCATGACTCAGGTTCTACAGCCAGCAGGGACGGGTTCGTCCTTGCACAGTCTGTCCTTATGCCCTAATGCCCCAAAAGCATCCAAATCCAGAATTTGAAAAGATGCTGTACGAGCTCTACAGGGTAGCTCAGCAAACTGCAGATGCACTGTACTTCTAAAGCTCTTGTCGAGGACGCGTCTTATTGGTCTTTACTTCCTCGAGTCTCGTGGAGCAGACGACGCCGCAGGCATCCGTGTGGGGTCGTATGAGAGCAACTGCCGGCTGTGAACATCCTACGCATTGTCTTCTCGCTCTAAAATGCATCGGTGCCAACACTCTTGCGGCGAAGCTGCTTTCGTGTGTGCTTTCAAGCTGCTGTTTGGCCTTTTGCGATGAACGGCCCCGTAGCTTCGGAGAATTGCAGGTCTTTAACTTCAGCGACACTGCGTCCAGCGTGTCGGCGGTCAGCTTCACAGATGTAGACCTGGATGTGCCTTTGCCAGAATTGCTTGAAGCAAATTCAGAGCCATATTTCCACAAGCAGGAGGCACCTCCTGCGTTTAGATGTGCCTAGCCAGCTGGTCACCGATGACATGCTTGAGTCATTTGCTGGGCTGAGGGAAGGTCGATGTGTCTCTTTGTTGACTGATGTCAATGAACAAGGCTGCGATGATCTGCCTAATCGCCTGGCTCGGAGTGCTTGTGTAATGTCGCATCCAACCCAGCATCCGTTCCTGAGTGTCTGGTTGCCACGAGACGAATTTCGATAATTATGCAGCCATCGAGCCGCGCCTGAGGCCCTGGAAATTGCTGGTGACGTCTTCTGGGATCCACCAAACGAGACATCCCAGGCCTGGGTGGGCCCAGAAGTCGAGTCCAGCAGCGACCTGGTTATTGCCACATCTCCGGTTGGGATGGTTGTCTCAGTGTATCCCAAGCTTCTGTTGCTTGCTGTTTCCGTTATTTGCCACACCCTGAACACGAACGGCGGTTGCTCAGTCTAGAACATCTTGAGAAATATGGCCGCGCAGTACTCTACAATCCATACATACGTTTGTGGAGCCGGTGGGGCCATGATTGAAGCCCTCTGAACCATGAACGGGTTCGAATACCAAGCGCCTTCTCAAAGGAGGGAAGCATAGAAGCGTACGATGCAGGTAGATGGCTACTCCCTGTATTTGAACGGTGCCACGGTGAACCGCTCTGTCGTCGGTGTCCCTGCAGCTTTGGGCCAGGCTCCTGGTGGTTCTTCAGTGTTTCTCACTCTTCAAGTCTTCTTCCTCAAACCCTCTGTATGCTGAGTGTTTTCAGTTTGAGGGTGCAAAACCACAAGGTGTTTCTGAACGTTTTTCTCACGCGGCATACCCCGACGAAAGTACAGACGGACCCACACCGATCGTTTGGCCGAGGCACGAACACGCTGCCCGTCCCCACAGAGACCGTGCCGGGGCCTGAGTCATGCTGAAGTTGAGTCGAGCTTGTGAGGACTCAAACGCGAAGAGCCCATTCAAATCCAAAGCACCCGCCGTTTTTCCTGATGGCGATTCTTGCAATTTTTCGCTTCGGCAGCCCAGCTGTGATGAACCTATACTTGAACCTATGCTGCGAGGCTTCCTCCCTACACCTCACTGCTCGTTTACACCTTTTCTTCCCTCACGGAGCAGTCGTCGCCGGCGGAGTTGGACATCAGTGGCTTGGCTCGTGCCTCCGAGGTTACGCTTGATGAATGCGTTCGGCACGAGTGGTCGGAGAGTGTACTCCAGTTCAACAGCTCGCATCGCTTCATACTTCATACTGTAAAGCCAGTTCTAGTCAATACTGCTGCTGAGCTCTTTTGGGACTACGAACATCGAAGATCGCCGCGACCGAAGCCGTTTGCTTTGGGTTCCATGCTGTGAGGTGACACCAGCTCGACAGTCACGAATGTGCTCTTGGTGGACAAGGATCTAGATGAAGAGGAGCTGGGTGGCGAGGCCAGCACCACATGCGTTGACACGCGGTGACCCGATATTCGCCAAGAGATGCCACTGCGCCAACACGGCCGTGCTGAAGCATGGCTCTGGCTGCAAGAAGAACCACATATGCACGCACTAGCTGAAGACAAGATTACTCCAACAGCGTTTGAGACACTCTGCTAGTGCGCATTTCCGCTCAGATCACTTGGACTGAACCGTCGGACACGGCCCAGATCCGCTTCTATGCAACTTACATGGAAGGCGGGTTCCGTGCTGAGGCTACACGAACAATATAAGAAGATGACGATCTCGTGTTGGCTCCATGACTCAGTTGGCTTGAAGTTGTGAAGAGATGGTTCATGCTCATATCACCGACGCCAAACAGTATCGTCCTCAGGGTCCTCTGCCTCACTTCGTTAGCTCATGTCGTGGATCGGGGACCGGTTCACTCTCCAGATTCATTAACCGGTGTTGGCATTAGGAAAGGCCTTCGGAGCTTACGATAGGTCCACTGACGCTTCGAACTTCCAACTTACCCGACACATGGGAGACATCATGTTTACATTGGCCTTTGCAGGCCCAACGGTGAACCGCTCGCAGATTGGAGCTTTCGTCCCGGTCGGAATCTCGAGCCTTGGTGATTTGTGGAGAGAGGGGACGCGTCCCTTCTTGTAGTCTATACCCAAAAATGGCTGTTTGCCGCTCCACGAAGCCACAGCACCATAGCACCTGGTCGCTGACAACTACCAAATTCCGTAGTACTCTGTTGTACGTAAGCACCACACTTGTTGAGTCGTAGGAGGGTGCAGGGCCAGAACCCCCGGGCTGTGCAGTTCGCAAGAAGCCGAGGAACACCTCCTTGGATCCAGACACTCCGCTGGAGAACTACACAGAGATCACGGTCTACACTCGTGCCTCGCTCTCTGGGATCACGCTTTGGGATGTGCAAGTTGTTAGCATTGCGGACTATTGATGTATATCCTTCGTCTTTCACTCCAATCCTGCTCGAATCTTGAACTTGTTGGCGCCACTTTGGTACGCTTTCACAATGGTTGACCCGTGAACTTGAGGTTTGAAAAGTGCCGAACTACTCAGACGACGCATTTCCAGCCAGCAACAGAGCTCATTGCGATGGGTACCTACACAAAGCTATCAAGTGCATGCGTAGAACGGAAGAACTGTGTGCAGCAAAGTCAAACATCTATCTTGGGACGGTCCCGCACTGGCACTAAGCACCAGCGAAAGGCTCTGGATTGGTGGAGCAGAGCGTGCCTGCCATCTACAGCATCAGCAGCTCTGGCGAGCATCACCCTAGCATTGATCCAAGCTACTCCTCAGCCTGTCTGATGCCCATCCGAGTCGCTGCTAAGAGGTTACGTCGCTATGCTGTGGAGTCGCTGGTTCATACAATGAAGACGGCTCCAGTGAAGAATAGTCATGCAGGGAAGAATCAGTCCAGAGAACTACATGTGTCAAAGACACTACTCGCACGGGCCTACGAGTTTTTGGGTATACTTGGTATCACTTCGCAGGGGGCATAGCAGAACCGAGTCCATGGAGATGCGATGGCCCTCGAAACCCAGGTGACACCTTTGCCGTGGCTCGCACCCTCAGCTTTGAGGCTCCGCGTAGCAGCCCCGATCCTGAACGCCAGTAGACTTCTCGTGTCACGGCTCATTCGGGATTCCGCGCATCGTCGCATCTATCTTCGCAAGCATTCGCAACCGCGGAGTGTTCGTGGTTGTGTTGATTCTCGCCAGCTTTTCCACTCTCGAGACCTCGAAAGTCATTCCTGGGCTTTCCTCGCGACACTCTCGCGAGTCTCGCATCGATGCGTTTTGAGGATCCTCGACGTGTCGAGCACCTACAGTTAGGAAGTAGTTACGTCCACATGCAGCCTGTGCATGAAACTAACGACAACTCTGGCATGGTGGAGATCTCAAGCTACGTAAGTATCCGCTCACAGCACGAGTCAAACAATGGTACTCGTGCAGTGTACTGACACGGTCAACCGCTAAGCTCTTGCACCCGTGGTTGGCAGGATGATGATTTGGATGGCTTAGAGATTGCCGGTGATCTGATCTGGCAGCCGCCCGCGAATCTTGACCAAGTCACTCACTATGAGCCTTATCTGAAGAGGATTGGGCATGACTTTTACCTAAGACACGGGGTGCAGAGGCTTCAACAAGGGGTTGCAGTGCTGATCCTCGAATCCTCAAAGTCGGCAAATGGAGAAGCTCTGGCACCTGCTTTGAGGTCTGAAATCTGTTGTACTCAGCTTTGACTTTTTGGGCGACCTTTTTGACCATGTATTTAGCAGAGTGCAGAAGAACTCGCAGAGGCATGAAGGCTGCTTGTTTGCGACCGCCGAAGGTCGCTTACTTGGCCAACAACTCCTTCGGTGCCTGGCGCTCCCAACTAGGCATCCTAGACATTCCTGTGGGCACGAACCAGCAGATCCTGTTGGAGGATCAGAGCTGTCGAAAGGGTCGGTCTCATGCTGTAGCATTTTCGTTTCGGTCATATAGGCACGAGGCATGTTTGGTATTGGGCACACGGTCAACGGAACGAGAGGGTCGAGGCCAGTGCCAAGCATGTATCAAGACTGCAGTAAGCAGCATGACACCGCAACCCACAGCTGCATCAACCTGAACTCCGAATCCTGCTCCCCAACATGCCTTGAAGGACACCGCTTGGGAGCTGTACCTGCTGGTCTACACCAAGTCATCGCTGGCGGAGCAGACCACGCCGGCGTTTCTTCCAGCTAGCCACTCGAAGCACATTAGCGTCCGGCCGAGAATTCGCATGAATGTCAAACCCCGGGAGGGGTGGAGGGTAAATTTGCCAAGACGCCATCCCATTTGCGCCTTGCAATGCCTTCTGTACCGGAACGTAAGCATGCTGTGGACAAGTCGTTTCTTTTTCTGAGCATGGATTGCCTTGACCGGTTGGAGGCGATTCATCTTCCTCTGTTCCGAATGTCACGTTCGTGGACAAGGCATGCGGGAAAGCACGACATCGAGGGGCCAGGCTGTTTGCCAGGATGTGCAGATTTCCAGACAAAGCCATGCCCTCAGTATCCATGCGATGCGGAGAGCGCCCTCAGAACAGGACTTGGATGCTGGCGAGATGGGTGGCACCATCATTTGGGCCGAGCCTGCAGACTCAGAGTGGCCCTTCTTTATTTGGTGGAAGGACGTTTAGCAATTTGATAGACATCGAACACATGCTGCCGGTTCGACGTACAACAGGGGAATCGGGCTGGTTCGCAGATTCCAGGGTTGCCGCGATCTTCGTGTTGTTTCATGCAGGGAGCTCTGCACCAAATCGGCTTGGCGAAGAGCAGCAGCACCATTTCTGACAAAGAGACTACAGCATTGAACCCGGGGTTCGACTCGTACCTCTTCGGCAGTGCAGAATCACGTTAGTCACCTTCGGCCGGAAGTGCTTGTTTCCACGACGAAGTGCCACCGCCCAGGCGCTTAGCTGCCTACACTGTCTACCGATCGTTTGGATCCGACGGTGTGCTGGGCAAATCCAGGTTCCTTGAGCTGCTGTTGCGAACAACTTTTCGAATTGCAATGCATATGCTTGAAGGCCGGAGAAATTAGCGGTTAAAGAGCCGCATCACGTTGCAAGACCGTGTGACGTACGAGCCATCCGTTTATTCCTCTCTTTGCTAGGAAGTCTTCCCTGAGTATTGGCACTTTGTGCAGGCTTTACAACGATGTGGCCAAGGGAGGTGGAAACACCGTGCCAGTGATGCCAGACGCCGGGTTGCAATGAAATGGAGGATGAAATGCAAGGTGTTGCACTGGCCTCGCCAGGAGTGTGAGCACTGGTGGTTGGAATTCGAACATGAATATGATGTCTTCTGCTAAGAGGTTCGATCGGTCTCGACTTTCTCTGACGCACCCTGGGCATCCATCCTGGGATTTCTCCTTTGCTTCATTGCTTTGCGGTTCTCTCCTGGGGCTCTGCCGGGGTAATGGGGTAGTTGGGCCCGAGTGCAGGAATCCTGAAACAGAGAACAACGACACGGAATGAGAGTGTTGGCACGCTTCCCAACGACCGCCTAAGAGAGGCAGTTGCTGCAGGGGTATGCCAGAATCACTTCTCACAACGTGATCAGCCGAGCAACGCACAGTCACCTTCACAAATGATACTCCGCTTTGCATGTGAAGATCTCGAGGATATGCAGATTGGCGTCTTCTGGTACATCGCTGCTTCGGCCTTGGTGCACAACTGTAGTCTTAGAGGTGCTCGGTATTCTCAGTTCATCTCTTCCCAGCTCTGGTCTCCTGACTTTCCGCTAAGTCTCGCGAGCGTCCCAAGCGCATCCAAAGTCCAAGGGCCTCAGAGACCTTCCCAGGTCTACTCCAGGTCCTCGCTGTACGAGCAGACCACTCCGGTGGTAATCGAAATCAACGACACAGTGGCCAAGGCCAAGTTTTCGTGACCTTCACCGTGAAGGTTGTTGGAGAGGCGAAGTTGCGAGAGGGAGAGAGAGAAGCGGGCAATACCACCCATGTATAGCAAGTATTAGCAAGTCAAACCCAGATTCTTGATTCTTGTCAACAGAAGAAGCCTAAGTAAGGACCGAGGGGTCAACAAGTTTCCGGAAACGGATAGAAAGAGTTTTTGTGGCGAAGCAGGTCCGGCTGGCAACTGGAAACTGGAAGCCACTGCCTTCTCCAAACCCCACTGCAGGTCAACATCTCCAGCTTCACAGACAGAGACCTCGACGAGAATGACCTGGGCGGGGAGACTCTGCCACAAATTAAATGTGGGACTGCGAGCTTTGGATGGTGTTACGTGCCACGTGTGATCTTCTTGCTTGTAGCTAGTTGTACCACCTTCAGGTATCCGAGTGTGAGCCCATTTACAACCCTGATTCTCAGTTCCGGTGAATCTCATCTGCTTTTTGTGTCCGCGCAGAGATTGAAAAGCTAGAGCACGATGGGAAGCAGTATGTCAGCCCACAACACGATTCCGATCATAGCACGGTTTGTGTTTGGAATGTGACATGACTGCCTAACTATGATTTCGACGGAGTCTCCCCACTGTACCGTACGTGATGCTCCAAGCAGTGAATCCAAGATGAAAATTAACGCATGCCTTAAACCTGGCTCTGCTCGCTTCATGTTCGTGCGGCTTCGGTCGAGGTGGTCCTGTGGCAGCCGCCGGCAGACGAATCTGAGGTTCCTTGCCAGCTGTTTGTGACGGATACTTTTGCAAATCCGCCGAAGCCTGACGTCCCGAGCAATCCGTATGCAGCTTTGTGCAGCATTCCGCAGGTGGTTCACTACCGCTTCTATCTCGCAGAAGATGTCGATGGGACCGTACGCACTGACACTTGTCAGATCATTGCGCGTGCGGCAACGTGATTGACGCCTTATACTCCTATACTCCCCAGAGCACGGTATAGTCAGAGATCTTTGCAGGACCTAAAGCCCTGACTCTACAGAGCACATCAAAGCAGCAGCTTTGCTGCTGTCGACTTCACGGGCGGCTTGCAGTGGAAAGTTGCTGTTCACGCCATAGCGATGCAAAACAGCCTCAACTGACTGGATTCCCTCAGCATATGAGACATGTCCAAAATCTGGTTGGAGCAGATCAAGTAAGCAGGACCATTCCAGAGCTGGTGCATCGGTCCCGTGTGCAACACGATCTGAAGATCTCACACAGACTCATCCATGCCACAGACAGATTGTTTCTGTTTGAGGCATTGGGGCTGGAGACCGCTGTCGGAACGAATGAGGTGACTCGACAGATTTGGTTCATGCCTCTCGAAACTACGTGATGACCTTGACGATTGCTCTGCCTGCTGATTTTCAAAGCTTAAACCTGCCCTCGAGACCGGCATCCGCACAAGGAGCTACTTCCTCCAGAGACTATCAAGGAGAACAGCACCCACCTCCTGGTGTATACCGTCTCCACATTGGCGGAGCAAACGACTCCAGCCTTTCAGCTGCACTGTGTCTTTGCGAATCGCCTTGTGTCATCGAATGACGCATCTCTGGCATTTGTGTTATCATCGATTGCGCGAGCAACGTGTCGTGATGGACTGTTTCGGGGCGCCTTTCTCCGTTCATATCATAATAGGTTGCAGGGTAAGCTGGGTAAGCTGGAGCCAGGATGCCCTGCCCATCTACGACATGATCGCCAGTGTGTCCCAGGCATCTCGGCTTTCGCAGGAAGAGACGAGCAGCGGCGAGCATGGATGAGGCAATTGTTGTCGGAGCATCAACCGAACAAGGTGTGAGAGAGCTGCATGAAATGGCTCAGAGGTGTGGGTAACAGTGTGGCATGATTCAGCGGAAGCATCGACCCTGCAACGACTGCCTTCGCTTCTCCCCGTCTGCCGGCACTGATGCGGAATGGCTTCATTTGTTGAGCACATTGGGACGTGGAACACTCGGGCTCCAACGGAATGTTTCGGGGTTCGCGGCTGGGAGCAATAGTACATTCTCGAAGGTCTTCGCCCGTGTTAGCAGGTTTCGGTTGCTACCTGCAACTACTGGGGACCGCAGGAAATGGTTGTCCAATTTTTTGTGGTGGGTCGCGATCTTCAGAAAAACATGTTGTTGGTGGAAGCAGCTGTCCTGTACTCTGGGAATGCGGCATGGTTGCCAAATCTAAAGCGGTGTATCTCGCGAATCTTTCTGTAGTGGGTGTTTATGGAGGCCTTGGTGGGCATGTTGTCCACCGGATCGTCTCGGCCGGTCTTCACATGTCGGCCTCGGCAGAGTGGTCCTTGCGTGGAACACAGTGTCTACATGACACTGAACTGATGGAAGTTTCAAGCGACCGAAGCCTGGGGGGCTTTTTTATCGTTCCAGGTAGCTTTCATTGATCAAGACACGGATTTCGGGCAGCTGGGCGGCGAGGCTGGAACGGGGCATAGCAGAGCAAATCAGAGGACTTCAAAAAGCCGCTGCATTCAGAAACTGTGTGTCCATGTCGCCTTGGCGACACATGCAGGCCCGAATGAGATGATGCCAGTTCTAGTAGATTTTGAATGTGGCCGGGAGTCAGTATTGTAATGAGAGTGTTGGCCAAGATAATGCAGGTGCCAGAGATTCAACTCGAAAAAATGACTCGATTCGCAGGTTACGTGGTTTGCTCCCGACGACGTTTCGAGGCGCGGGTCTACTTATGAAAACGTCCCGGAAGAGGCCTAATGTCTATACAGGAACATACAGGAAGCCAGGTCATGATACCTCAACAATTTGCCACGAACCGACTTTGGATGAAAACGGTACATGCAGATCTATAGGTACTCCTTGCAAAGGACGGAAAGCACTCCAGATAAGAAGCGAGCTTCCGGCCAGGGTCACGCACTACCTTGCTTATCTTGCGCAAGACGCTGTTGGAGCAGCCAAGTCACAGATCGACGTTGACCTTCCGGAGTCCTGAAGGGGTAACTTGAGGTAAATCCTAAATCAGGAATTTGAATCATCGGAGCCCTCAAAGAACATGCGCATTGAAACAGCTACTTTAGCTGCCAGTTCCATGAGAAGTTTGCTGACGAAACCGACAGGAAGATTCCTAGTAGAACGCACCGTCTTGGATCATCCCGGACGAATTTCTGGCGGACTTGTGGTGGGACTTTGCGATTGCGGGTATCTAGTGAATCGTGAGATATTGGCTGGCAGCTTACTGTACGGACTCCCAAAGATGCAGGAGGGCACCTTGAATGTCACTGTCATTGCCGACACACAGCTGCACCAGAATACGCAGCTCGGAAACACGTGTGAGTGGCGGGAAGCACGACGATGCGGGGATGTTTAAGTTGGTACATCTCGAGGGATGTGGCAAGCCGTCAGCTAAGGCACGTGGTTGTGTACACTCGGTCGTCTCTTGTGGAGCAGACCACCCCAGCTTTCCTTGAGGCCGTGAAGAGTTTCGACATTGATCAGTCCCCATCAGTCCCCTCTGCAGATTTCCGACACGATCTCGTCGGTTCCGTACCTTCGCTTTACGGATCTGGATCTCGATCCGCTCCAGATTGGTGGCTGGGCAGCACATGACCTGGGTTCTTTCTGTCTATATTATGGCCACCACACACTGGATGTTTGCATGGCTGCCATTACAGTCGCCACATGAGTTCGGTGGGTTCGTCACACCACATTCTGTACTTCTGGATGCGGTCTGGCAACTTGGTTTTGGAACCAGCAGCACCTGCTTTGCCTTGACAGCAGGGTTGCAGTGTCGTCGCCTGCCCCCACCAAGGAGGTTACTTGGAGTGGGTGGCTCCGGAGGACGCATGGTTTGGCATTCTTCTTTTTTTGCAGCAAGGCGTTTCAATTCGGGAGAGCCTCGCTAAGCAGATAGAGTCTGATAGAGCGCCTCCAGGAAGCAAGTGCAAAGTCTTGCACGTTTGCCTCGGTGTTCTGCTTCTGGTGAGATGCCGGATGGAAAGATGAGCCGAAACGTGGACATGCATGACAAGCCCACATTCAGATTGGGATAGGTTCGTTTCCTACATTCCAAAGCCACGGCCTCAATCCCGCGGAGGACAACTCCACCATTACGCATTACACCCTATATGCCGCAGAAGATGCCCTGGGTTCCAACAGGCACCGGCAGTGGGAAACGGAGATGGTTAAGAGTCCTGTCACATGCTATCGATTTGTTGTGAATGTCTATGGGCCATGGGGGTTTCTATATGTCACCAGCGCAGCTTCATGAGCATGAGAGCTAGCAGTCGTAAGCTTGGACTCCGAGTCGGTAGAAGAGGCTCAGGTCAGCACGGTCAGCACGGTTAAACTGAGTTCTCAACTGGATGTTGGGCCTTGTGGCATCTTGCCTCCTACACAGCTGGGTTTCCAGTTAACTGAGCAAATCTCGCAGGGTGGAAGACGAAACCTGGTAACCTGTCGGAATTGATCGTGGTAGTCTGTCGTTTCAAGCGCCTTAGTGAGGCTGCTCGCACGCACAGGCGCACAATCAATCAAGCAATCAATCAACCAAGCAAGCAAGCAAGCAAGCAACCAATCAGTCAATCAATCAATCCATCAAACGCTAAGTGCCAAGCAGGACACAGATATCGCCGGAGCTTCCGTTTGGGACCACTGCCGCCGTCCTTCCGCATCTCTGCTGACTCCGGGCCTGGATCGTCTTGACGTAGACGGGGCTGCGTCGTTCGATACGGAACCAGGGTGTTCAGGCTGTCCAACGACTATCCTGCTCTTGACTTGGAGGCTGTGTGCCTGGCTCTGAGACTCCAAAACCGGCAGGAAGGACGTGAATGCACAAGCATGTTTCCAGCATTTACTGGGCATAAAGACGGCTCTCAGACTATTCGGCAGCCAGGATGTTGATGCTTGCAGTGGCTTGAAGACATCAGAGAAGGTCTTAGCAGTATCATCCCTTCAGAAGTTGCCTTCCGACGGTTGTGTTGGGCTCAGCATGTAAATCAAGCTTGGCTTCGAGGTTAGAGAAGCGGGGCGTTGAAACAGACTTTGGAGCCCCATTCCCACAAGCTGCCCCATAAACCCCTGTGGTTCATTCTTGAGGGCGCAGGACGGTGTAGGAGTTAGGATTTGAGCCACATGGCTTGGCTTTCAGAAGTATAGGATGTATAAGGAACCCGTGACGCTTGAGCACACGACCATGGATCTCCGAAATGACCGTGACGACGGATGCATTGAATGCTTCACCAAATTGCTGAGATCCGCGCCAAGCGAGGCACAACTTCGAGCTGGAAAACTATACACACCTGTTGATTTACACCAAGACGGATGTGAGCGAACAGATGCTGGCCTGTGTTAACCATACTACTCGCAGGCTATCTGACAAGCGGTTCACCGGGTTTCGGCTACGACCAACTGTCAGTATTCAATGTCTTACTAGTAGTGGATTTTCGGGCCTGGAGTCTCCATTGCAGGCTCAACTGGTGTGAGATCTCCGTCGATTTGAACTGTGGGCGTTTGCAGTCTTGGCTTCGGATGTTGCTGCATCCGCCCAGGACTGTGCCAACATCGCATTTGATCACAGATGAAGTTGTCACGTTGCTGCAAGACCAGATACCCTGAGAATTTGATGATAAGGTCATTCAGCATTGGTCATTCCCTGATATTCCCGGCAGGTTTAGCCGAGGGCTTGCCGTTTTATTATATTTCACTTGAGTGTAGTATGCAAAGACTCTGTATTCGACGGCGTGTCTTCATGTGTCGCTTGCCAGTATGACGCTGGATATGTCGGTCCTGCAGTGCTGAGCAGCCCAACACAATTTCGTCTTTCAAGACTTTGAGTCGTGCGTATGCAGCGTGTGCTCCTCGCCCTCAGGCTCTGTGACAATCGACCCCCCTTGCTGTGGAGCTTTCTATTGCAAACCGTCTCGGCGCGACACACGGGTGTAAATTTACAGAAATGGACAGTACTCCTAGAGGCTACACGAGTCAGCCCGTGCGCCAAGAGCTCAAGCAGAAGAGTAATGGAAGCATCCCTTTGCCGGCGGACGTAAGTGTGACACTATGTCATTATGTCATGGCGATGCTAATGTAGTCCCAGGCTTCGGTATCGCGACTGATGCTCGTCGACCTGGATTTGGACGAGTCCGAGATCGGGGGTACAATTACATGGCACTTTGCCAAATGCATTGGAGGAGGCATTGGATTGCTTGAAATCTGTTGGCGGAGGTGTCTCGCATGGGGTGTCTCAGGGTGGCATTGAAATTCGGCGATCAGATTCCTCTGTGTGGAGATTTCAAGAAGGTCAGTCCATCTCGTCGCCGCATTGGAGCACTCTGCACCAGCTCAGAGCAGCACTTTCGGCCAGATGCAGAACATAACTCTGAAGATGCTTGATTCGTGGATCAGTGAGGTCTCCGCCTACGTCGGTGACTTTGGTCGCCGGCTACTACGTCTACCTCGCCGAGTCCATTGAAGGCCCTTGTATCAAGCAGGCAGTTGTGATCATGCTTCGGGTTCCTGGGGAATCGCAAGAAAGTCCTTTTAGGGTCTGGGATTGCAGACTTGGTTTCCTTGGCTCTCCCAAAGCACGCACCATTGCGCACCTTCCAAACCGCTTTGCATTTGCGACAGTGGGATTCAGCCAAGACGTCGGCAAGGGCGTAGCAGCTCACACGTGTAAGCAGAGGCGCACACATCCCGTCAGCCAGGGCAATGACGAAATCAACGAGAGCCTCAAATGACTGCTGGTAAAACCAGGTAACGGCGCCTGTAATGCACCATGCGTTTTCGCATATAGCTTGCTGTTGCACGTTGCCAAAGAATGCGAAAAAGCACTATTGGCAGCAAAACACATCAAGCAGAAGGGCCCAAAAGCCTGAAACAGAACATGCTTTTCGAGACTTACAGTGCTAAAAGCCAGGCGGCGGCAGCTTTTTCGAGCAAACTCCGAGCGAAACTTTGTCAAGCCTTACACTTCCTGCAGAGGCCGGCCAAGGCTTCATACGCTTGTGACAGCATGTCTTGTTCCACATCCTTGCACAGTAATTATTTTGTACAAAAGGCAAAACGCTATAAGTACCAGCGTTGTGGGCATGGTCGCCACAGGCATGCTTGTGACCAAGTGTCTTGTTCCACATCCTTGCGCAGTATGTTGTACAAGAAGGCAAAAAGCTGCAAATACCATTTTGGGCACGGTCGCCACAGTGTCTTGTTCCACATCCTTGCGCAGTATGTTGTGCAA